TTTTGTACAAGANTGCTATGTCTGGTCTGAGCGAGGTAAACAGTTGCGACCCAGGGCGGATCGATTCTTCTTCGATATCCGCAAAAATGATCGCTCCAGGTTCGATGCATGATTTGATGTTGTTTAAGATGATGGCAAATATTTTATTGTGGCGATTTAAGTACCTAGCGAGTGCAGATGGCGAACCACATTTTGATACTACATGCTTATTTGTTTCCTTGGCGTTACAGAGAGAGCATGCTGCGTTGTTCGTTTTTTTCCATTTGACTTGGTTAGCGTTGGTTGATTTTGTTGCATTAGCCCAACGGGTGATCTCTGAGTCGTGAATGTTTTCCTTAGTCGACTTTATCAATGTTCCTTGGCATTGTAGCGACGATAGATGGTTGAAGTCATTTTGGTGTTAACGCTGTTTTCAGGACGTTGCACACCATTTGAATATCGTTGCTTTGGATTCGGTTGTCGACTTTTTGTATTCGTTCTTTGATTCCTGCCACAGAACTCTCATTTCTTCCCTGGTGTTTGTTTTTAAGTGTCCCCGAAGTTTCAATCTCATTAGCTCTGTGTGATGTTTTAGCAATTTTATGTTTAGCACTCCACTTTTGTAAGGCAATGACAAAACTTCAGCAACACAACTACTTTACGGGAAGAGACAACCAATCTCTTACAGCTTTGCGTATCAACGGGTCTAACCAAGTTAGCGAAATATCATATAATCGCAATTGGAATGATAATTGAGACGGAATGAAGCGACGTAGAATTTGAAGTTTCCATTGAGCTGTTTTATTTAAGTCGCTGATTACTTGCAGCATATCCGTTAGTTTCTTTTAGAGTATCTCTTTTTCCTTGACGTTTTTGCACTCAAAATCATAAGATTTACCCAGATACTCAAACTTGTCATCGATGCCTATCTGAGGTATTATTTCATCGTCTATTGTTAGCTTCGGCAGAAATTGTTCAAATGCGCCATCCCGCTTTCGCATCCCGAATGTGCAACACTTGCCGACTCTTATTTTCATGCCAGACCATTTGCACCAGGATTGGTTGAGATTGATTAGAGTTTGAGCACCATCAGAACTGTTTGTTATAATAGCTGTTTCGTCAGCAAATTGCAGCCAAGCTCTGGATTTTAGATTAGCCGCAGGGCCCCATAGGTATCCACATTGTTCATATTCTTTTCTCTCTAACATTTTTATTAGAGGGTTGAAACAGAGGTTAAAAAGAAGAGGTGAACTGGGGTTACCCTGCAGCATTCTACGTTTCACAGGGATTGGTAGAGTTAACTGCTCGCGTACTGATACTGTTGTTGAATAGTCAGCATAAATAGAATCAATTAAGTTGCACATCTGGTCCGGTATATGATGGTATTTTAGAACAGATGAGATCGTGACTAACCTTACCAAATGCATTTCTGAGATCTAGAAGGGTGACGATGCTCATTCGATGATGTTTATTCGCATCTTTCATCAGGTGGGTAAGTAGATGAGTGTGTTCCGTCACTCCGTCCAATTTTGGATAGAAGCCCTTTTGTATTGAGGTGTTGATGAACCTGTTGTTTACTAGATATTTGTGTAATCTATTGTTGAGGCATGTAAAGAAGATCTTGTATAGAACCGGTTGGAGCGTTATCGGTCTAAAGTTAGCTGGGTCATTGGGGTCACCTTTTTTATAGATTAAAATAGTGAAGCCCTTACTCCAACAGGATGGAATCGTAGCAGACCTCCAGCATTCGACTATTAATTGGAGAAAGATTGTGCGCAGCATAGGGCATTTTTTGAAGACAATTATTGAAATTTGATCAAGCGGACAGGGAGATGCTCTAAGTTTGGATTTTCTAATGACTGTTGATATTTCGTGGTATGTTGGGTGTCGATGATGCATGGAATTGTTGGTTGCTGCAATGTTGAAATCCAGTTCGGAAGGCAAAACTTGTTGTGAAATGGGTCGTGGAGTATGTTGTAAAAATATTTCTTGCAGTCGTCGATGCTGAATGATGGGGTTAAGCTGTTTGATGGGTTGAACAATTTTTTGCATGTTGACCAGAATTTGACCTTCAGTTGTTTTGTTATGTCGACATGTTTCTCAGTTTTTGCATTTTTCATTGATAACAGTTTTGTTCTTATTTGTTTGCTTAATGTGCTGATTTTCATGTCGAAACTGTGGTCGTTGCGGCCAAGTAATTTTAACTGTTTTAGGTCTTTCTTCATGTTTTTGACTGTTTTATTGGGGTGTTGTGTTGTTGATAAATCTTGTGGCTTTACCGTGCCGTAGTTGGATGCAAAATAATTGTAGATTAGTGATTGGAATGAGGTGGTGAAATTGTTGATGTCGGATACATTTGGTAAGGACGTTCTATGGAGTTGGAAGTATGTATTTACTTCCGTCCAATGTTTTAGTGTATTAGGTAGTTTTATTCCAATGAGAAGAGTTTCCATGGTGTTACTGTCCAACCTTTCAAGGGATGCTTGTTCGCGTTGTGGTGGTGGCGACAGTTCCAAATTTTTGTCAGATTTCTCTGGGGTTTCTAGTGCATTCCTAAGGTTTTTAAACATTTTGCAAAAACGTTGATGTAATTTCAAGCCCTTCCGATCCTTGCAACTCTTGCCACAACAACATGGAATTAAATTATTACCATTATTAGTTAAAATATCGTTACTTTTAGAACTATTAAACATGTTAAGAGATCACAATATTATTTTTTTGTGAGCTGTGTATATTAAAATTGTCATTATTATTCGACGTTGTTTTAGTGCACCTCCAGGAGTGTCTTCCTACATTTACAAACTCTTTGAAACAATGTGGACATTTACCAGCGTTAACAGTTGAAATTATATTTAAAAGCAAAATAAAACTAAATAAATATTTAAAATTAGATTTTATTAAAACTAGCTTAATCGACAGAATTTTCCGCAACTTTACAACTAATTTTTATATTATTAAACTTTATAAAACCAAATTAAAGTAGGTAAAAACAGTGAGCAGACTAAAATCGACCGACTCTCATGTTTACACGATAATAATAATAATAATAATAATAATAATATCAACGTTACTATCAGCAGGCGTGTGTACAACAATAGAATCAAAGTTGGCTGTATTTTTCGCGCAACGCCATGTGTGCCTACCAACACACTCAAATGATATATTGCAGAATGGACATTTTGGTGAATATATCCGAGAAACGTTTAAAACTAAAATAAAACAGACAATTATGTAAAATTTAAATGGCAACATATTTCTTACAATTTAGCAAATATTTAAAACTATTTTAAAACTAATTTAAAAACGTAAAACCAAAATTATGCTTAAAAACAGCGAGCTGTAAATTTTCGGTCAGCTCTCGTGCTTTCACGAGAGCTGACCGAAATAATAATAATAATAATAATGTTTAAACTTTTTCGAAACCCATTTGGTTTTGTTTTTCAAAATTGCAAAATGTATAATTTATTTATTGGTAAAAATTGAACAACTTTCAACTAATCTAAATAAAATAGATAATAAAATTTTTAAAATATTTGTTTGCTGGTTTCAATGAACTTGTCTCAATCAGGTTGGGATTAACTTATTGTTTTTTTTACTTTTGACAGGATATGTTTGATCGCATATTTTGCAACGCTGGTTCGCAGGCAGACCACTGATGAAAACATTTCTTTTATTAAATAGCAAGAAAGCTAAACTGTTCTTTAAATAAAAGAAACAAGAAAATGATCATGAACATATACGAATTGATTTTATATATCCAATTTAAACTCAAGCTTCACAACTACTTTATTGACGTTCATCTAATTTTAAAAAAACATCGTCACTAACCCGGTCCTTTGGCACCCCCGTGAAGTAAACGACCTAAGCGAAATATGACAGCACGTTCATATTCTTGGACAACCTGCATTATATATAAAATATATATATATATATATACATATATATATATATATACATATATATATATATATATAATGCAGGTATATATATATATATATATATATATACACAATGAAATACAACAAAAAATATATCATTAATACATATATTAATAAATATATATATATATATTAACGAGGCTTTAAGTCTCATTTTGTTAAAACTTGAAGCATATCTTGTAGGGCTAATTATAAATGAAATACAAAAAATATATCATCAATGCATTAGTTCTAAATAAAATATAAAAATTAATGAACAAGATTTAAACATAATATCTTGTAAATTTAAAAAGCGAAAAAAATTAAATTAATAATTCCTTTTTTGAAACTAACTAAACTAAAGGTAATGAAGTTTTAACGTCAGAAGGTAATGATGACTATAATTTTATTCCATAAATAAAGATAGAATGAAAAAATAGAACTGTTCTAAAATTAGGTACATAAAAATCAGGTGTATGTCGTGTTGGTTTATGAATTATTGTTGAAGATTTTATTAAATTTCTGTGAAAATATTGATATTTATTTAAAATAATCATTTTATTAAAAAAATTGTATGTATATATATATATATATATATATATATATATATATATATATATTGGTAATATACAATAATTTATATAAGTATATATATATATATATATATATATAATGCAGGTATATATATATAAGTATATATATATATATATATATATATATATATACAATATTCTATAAATTCTACCGAATATTTGGCGTTAATATGTCTGAAGTTCGTTTTTTCAATTTTTCTCACTAAAGTTTTTTGGTGAACGTTTAGTTTATTAAAATTCAAAATAAACTTATTTTCCGAATTCATGCTGCAAATAAGGCCATATTTCAATTCAGAATGAATCATCATCAGTGCTTTTTGATGTTTATATAGGGAAATATTGACTTTGTCATAATGAGCTTAGATGGAAATTAGGTGTCAGGTTTCTTAATTGGCTGGTCATCCTCTTTGGTCTCCTTTTCTTCATCGATAGCATCATATTCTTCTTTGTCACTATTTACAATGCTAGTTTTTATTACTTCTTTGTTTTCATTGTTGGTTAAGCACCGGGTTGGAAGTGAGGTTGTCATTTTTTGTTGTATATTTATTTTTGGTTTATTGATGTCAATTAGGACTGCTTCCGCAATTTTAAGTTGCTGTAATGGTATATTACTTTGGTGTTACTGTCGAGGATTTCACGGCTAATAGTGATTGAGTGTGTTGAGTCCAAATGAGATTTGATAGCACCACTCTGTTTATGCATCGTACTATTTGGGTTGGTTGGTGTGGCATTTTTATTGATGATATGTTTAAGAATAGCTTCATGTACTTTGCATGCAGTTGACATGTGATTTCTGAAATACAAGACGATGTCGTTATCTTGATTGTTGGTACTAGGAAGGTTATTGTTGTATAGTAATTTGCCTTTAACAATCTTTTCAATAAAATAAGTCTTATATCCATTGTTTACAAGCAGGTTGGTGACTCTTTTTAATTCAGCGTCGCGATTTTCAATATCGGAAGAGTGTGTGTATGACCGGTTTACAAATGATTTTATTGTGCTGTCTTTAAATTGTTCGGTACATTCACTTTGTCCATTCAAACAAATTCCTGTATTTGTTTCTTTGACATAGACCGCAGTTTTGAATCGTTATTCGCCACGGGTGACCAACACATCGAGGAAAGGTAAACGTTGTTCCTTTTCAATTTCAACGGTAAATCTTAGTTTTGATTTTTTACTTAGGACATCTGGAGAATGAGACCTTCAAAAACAATGCAAATTTAAAACCAAATATCTACGCTAGATACGCTGATGATATATTTGTCTCCTATAACGATCCTGAACAAATCACCCAACTTCTTGGTACCTTAAACAAATCAAAACTAAGATTTACCAATGAAATTGAAAAGGAACAACGTTTACCTTTCCTCGATGTGTTTGACACCCGTGGTGAAGAAAGAATTTTGAAATTTCTTTACAGTTTCATGCTGGAGCCAACCCGTTTGCTCTGCGATACACCCCCAGGGTCAGCTCTTAGAACATTTGCTCAATTTGCACAAAATCTTCGTGGACAAATTGCCGCGATACGGTATATGCATTATAGCCTGCAAGAAGTTTGATGGCATGGCACTGGTGAACTGCGTGTTGCATATTTCAATATACTGAGGTCGGGCCCAGCTGAGAATCATCCCAGGTTCGCTGGTGTTGCTTTGGCCCTGAGCAATCAGACTAATCGTGCACTGCACTGATTGAATGGCACCAGATTAGTGAAAGGCTGATGGTTGCTCGTTCCAGACATCGATATGTTACGCGACGGCTGAAATCAAAGATCTTTTACAGCGCACTGGAGGGCTCGCGTCGCTTCACCAGGTCCACCGACCTCATCATTAGCCTAGACGACTTTAACGCGGTAATGGGTGTTGACCGTCGCATGCCTGCTGTAGTTGGCCCCTTTGGTAGCAAATCACCAAACGACAGCCCTGATCGTTTTCTGGAATTCTGTGCCTCCGCGAGACTTAGAGTCTGCGGATCCTGGTTTTGCCGTAATGATATCCATAGACTCAAATGACGGTGTTACGGCTAAGGAGGTTGACCATATCTCGGTAAATGGCATGTGGCGGGTGGTTCGTAACTGTCGTGTGTATCGTGGCATGGAGTTTGATACTGATCATTTTCCGATGGTGGGCACTTTAGCCATTTCCCTTAAGGGCACTGTGGCTAAAACAAGACCTCCCCCTAGATTCAATATCCGTCTTCTGCGGGATGACGTCACTGCCGTAACATACGCGGCTGGTGGAAAAGTGTTTCGTCACTGCTTCTGAAGTTGAGCTCTCCTCGTGGGATTCATTTCGTGATGGTAAGGTCTTTGGCCATGCTGTTTCCATGCGTCATAAATGGATTTAAACCGCAACAAGGCGACTGATTGAAACGAAACGGCAGGCGAGACTTAGTGGCATGAAAGAAGTCGCCCGCTCTCTGCGTGGAGAGAGCAGGAGACAGCTGCGTATGAATCGTCAGGCGCGGGCGGACAAACTGACAACGGATGGTTAAGAAGCCTAGTTAAATGGACGGACCATGGACGCTTTTGGTCATTTTCGAAAACTTAAATTGATAACCCCAACCCCGGCTGTCCTTAGCCCTATTCTCATAGGCACTGGCCGGTTGATTAATGACGGAAGCAAAAAGCTAAAAAATGGTGAGAAGACTACAACCAGTTGCTCAACCACCCAATGTCGACGTTCTCGCAAGAATTGCTAAATTTTGCTGAATCCACTGCCCCAGAACCCCCGGGGTTGACACTGAACCCTTTTCCGTAGCTGAGATTGTCGCGCCTATAAGAACACGAAAAAGCGGCAAGGCACCAGGCCTGTGTAACATTCATCCGAAAATGTTTAAATCAGGTGGACCTATGTGTGCTAAGTGGCTGCACACCGTCATAAACCGGGTGTGACATTCCGGTGCGGTCCCGGGTGATTGGAGGAAAGGTATCATTATTCCGTTCTACAAGAGTAAAAAATTTAGCCGTAAATGTAAAAACTATAGAGAAATCACTTTGCTGTCAGTTACAGGCAAAGTGTTTGCCCGCGTCCTTCTTGATCGTCCATCGGCAGGATATTCACGCTCTCACTCCTTCTGCAGACCAGACGTGAATTTGGTAGACTTATCTGGATAGCCTACGTTGACTTGAGAGCGGATTTTGATTCACTGTTGTTCCGTAGTCTGGGTATCCCCGTTCACCTGGTAAAACTGCTTAAGGTTAAGGCTCTATACACTTACATCTTGAGTTGTGTTAGAGAGGGGCGATGCTCTCGGTGGTTTGAGATTGATAGCGGCGTCAGACAGGGGTGTATACTTGCGCCAGATGAGTTTTTGGCCCTGATAGATTAGATCATGGAGCGTTTCGTACACAAAGATATGCATGGCGCCACAATCTGCAAGGTGGTGATCACGGTTTAGAAATCAACTGAAACAAAACGAAAATTTTGGCAATTTCTCTGGGCGATCCGCCACTCGCGTCTGTCTGTGCTAGGTAATGACGTACAGATTGTGGATTCGTTTCCATATCTCGGCTCCCAAATACAAACTTCAGGCAGTAGTGATGCTAAAATTTCACGTTGAATCATCATTGTCCGAGCGTGTATGAGGTCCCTGGATTGTGGTATATGGCACTCGGGCATTTCGGTGACGACCAAAGTTCGATTGTATAGCGCATACATCATCCCCGTGCTACTCTATGGAAGCGAGGCGTGGTCACTCACTGGCGCTCATTTGAAGAGGCTAGACGCTACAGATCAATTGTGCTTGCGTAGGATCCTTCGTCTGACATACCGCGATCGCGTCACCAGCGTTGAGGTGAGAAGAAGAACACAGCAGCCCTCCGTTCCCTTACTCCTGTTCAGGCGTCGTCTAAATTTCTTTGGTCACATAGCTCGTACCAGTCCTATGGAGAATCATTACCGGGCTTTAAAAGCTGTCATAGACCGACCACCACCGGACTGGACTCAACCGCGGGGCCGTCCAAAACAGTCATGGATCCGCTCAGTGGAGAAAGATCTGTCCCTCATTAACTACGGTTCTTACTCGGCCTGGAGACTTGCTCATGATCGCTTGAAATGGAGGCACCTTGTGAACACGGCAATATAATATATATATATACATACATATATATATATACATATATATATACATATATATACATATATATATATACTGAAGTGAATGAGATGAAAAACAGAGTCAAACCTGATGGTTTTTCGCTTAGTTGAGAGCGGCAATGATCGCACTGATGTTATGAAGATATTGCAACATTTTGTTGAAGACATTTCAGAGAAGGATGTTCTAAGATATTGCAACATTTCCTTGAAGACATTTCAGAGAAGGATGTTCTAAGAACTACCAGGCTAGGTAAAAAAGTGAAGACGTAATCAGACCATAGTTGATAAAGCTGGAAA